TGCATAGTTACTATATTGGTGGAAGTAACCTTTGCTGTCACCCTAGTAGTTCTTGTCTCATGGGGCTGCCAGTGCCTGTCCTCTTCTTTCTTTTATTAACCCACTTACCAAATGTATTACTATGAGACCCCTGAATAGTGACATGAGGACCCAGCAGTGCCATATACTAAATTCTGGCTTCTGTTATATTACTCATATTCTGATACTCTACTGCATTTTAAAACACTGGGCAAGGCATAACTAGCAGTGATTTGTTCTGGGTTCAAACACAGTTCTGTTGTTAAACTGATTTTGATGGGGGCAAACGCAGTATGGAAATCAGGTATTTGCTATCATCTTTAGTGTTTTGTATTGCCTTGCTCATCAGTCAGTAATATCATCAGCTGGTTTTGCTGCTTCATGACAGAAACAATGCAACTTGTAATAGCAAACTCAATATTAAAATGCCAACTAAGGAAATATAAGTGTGCTGACACCACATCAAACAGTGAGTTGCAGTGAAACACCACAGTGGTTCTGCTGAACAGTTTATAATTCAGCATGCTATCTCTTCACGTTAGGAAGGCAAATACTTTTGAAATGGCCAAACAATAACTTTAGATGTAGGTAGGGAGTGGCTGAAGCACAACCCAACTATCACCCATCCAAGTAAGAATTAAAATTACTATGTGTCAGTATTCATTCTCTCAATCTTTTATATTTTCACTGCAACCTGCAGTACTCGCTTGGAAGAGATTAAGGTGTATCAGCCTTTACCTGCTGGGCACTGTCTGGCAAATCCCTGTGCTCTGGTTCCTACATCATCCAGATCCAATGCTTGCCTGAGATTACTGTTTCATCCGTCATCTTACAGAGAGGTGTGCCTTTGTTTTGCACACAGCACAGAATATGTATAAGGTCAGATGACAACACAAAGTTGGGATGCTCTCAGGGTGTTCATCCAGCATCTGGAATCTTCAAGCACTCCCAAATTCCCTAATTTTGATGATATGGAAAATGAATGACATGCCTCAAACATGTCACAACTCACCTAAACAAATTACCGTATGTTTAATGCAGTATATGTTATTGGCTAGAAGATCTTCCAATGAAAATTTAACCTTGATGTTTTTTCCTTGTGGAAGAAAAATGCTGGAAGTGCCAGGAACTTGTACGTGCTCTGTGGGTGTGCTGAGATGGACAGCAGGCTGGGATGTAGAGCAACAAGTAATGGGTGGGGTATCAGAAACACTGTTGACATCTGCAGATGTCAGAGCAGAAGGCAATGTGTCATAAAACAGCCTCAGAGAATAAGGACAAATCTCTGTCCACCAAAAATGAAGATTGTTTTATGTATATGTGGGGGAATGGTAGAAGAAGCTCATACAGTGACAGGATCAACATCAGTGCTACATAATGGGTAACAAGCTATCCAAAAGCACTACTGTTTTGTAGGAACGAAAATTTTGACCTGCAGCAATACCCCAGGGAACAGGCATTCATTATTCCTGAAGCTACTGCTGGTGAAGGCAGATTAGATCCTAAACTGTTCATGAAAAATCATGAAAACACGGGGAAGCTATTTTTGTGCACTGTTTTCCTTTCCATCTGCTTCTTTGCTTATTTTATAGCTATTTTCCTATATTTCCAGATGGAAGAAGAATGTATGACTGCCATTAGTCTCTAGTAACATTGCTGAGTATATGCCAGTTTGTACAGTATTTAAGATCAGGTTTGAACAGAAATGTCAAACATTTAGAAATTAGCTTTTTAAAATATGGGCTACCACTCCTAGCTTATACATAAGAGAGCATATGCATGTTTGTCTCCAGTGCAGAGGCTTCCTTGCATTGAATTGAGACATGAGCTGTTTTCTTTGCTCCCCTCCACTACCCTTGTGTTAGGCAGGGTTGAGGCACACAAAACTGTGGCTGTATTACTTTCTTCAGCATGGCAAGGAGTAATGTAAGCTAGCATTTCAGAACACTTCATTGTTTTCTTCAAAAACAGTCCATCCATATTAAAATTATTAAAATCCATGCATAAAATATCAGCAGAATTGAAAGCCATGTTGGACCTCTTTGTAGTTTCATCAGTTCCTTGTCTGCTCCTTGACCAGATTATAAAAATAAGTCTAATTAAAACTTTTATTATAAGTTCAGCCTGGTCTTCATATGTAATTAATGGAAAAACACTTCAAATTATCCTACGTCAACTATTATTTCTACAGAGCTCTTGTACAATCACAATACTCAGGCTACTCATCTAGAAGATACAAATTTAGCTGCCCTGCCCTGCTTTAAATGTTCAGTTTTGATATCCATCTACTTCTTTTATACCTCCTTGTGAATAGCCAAGTACGTGCAGAGAATTCTCACTGAGTAAGCCAGCGTGGTACAAAGTATACGGTTTGGATTTCACAAAATCACAACTGTCAACATCACAAATATTCCATTCCCCCACACTACATAAAAGAAAGCTTCTTTGTGAGAATAACTGATTCTATCTTACAGTCTTTTTCTTGGAATGTTTTAGATATTCTGTAATTCAGAAATAATGGAGAAAGTCAAAATACCTGAGAGTAGCCAAAGTCTTCCAGTAGAGTAAACTTTTGCTCTGCTAAGTAGTAAGGGTGATTAACTTGAAAGGAGTATAGAATGAGGGTTAGGTAAGGTAGGTGTGTCTTTAAAATTCAAGTGACATGTGAAGCTCTCAAAAGCACATGAGAAAAATTATTACAAATGTTTGCCATGGTTGCTTTTATGTATCTTGCTACATATTTTGAGTAGTTGTTAGAACAAGTTTCATAATATTTATTTAGGATAAGTAACTCTCAATGACCTCTTGTCACAGAATATTGTAACATAACAGCATGGGCCAGCCTCTGAAGAGAGACTTATCAAAATACTCTACATTTCAAAATGAACTTTAATGTCATTCCAGTCATGTGAGTTAGCAAGAGATAGAGAGCTTTTTTGCTTTCGGATCAGCTTAGAGATCTTGTCAGTATGTAATTTCTGTAAGAGGAAGAAAAATAAGCCAAGAATCATTACTGGTGTAGTATACAAGTTTGTATATCCTAATGGTTTGCTTTGTGCTCTCTTCTGAGGCTGGCATTTCAAACTTGCAGTGTCTTGGTTTGATAACCCAGAAAGTACATAGGAACTAACTAACAATGAAGATGTCCTTTCAGTATCAGTACATTTCTGAGACAGCCAGTCTGGCACTCTGAGGATATTTTCACATGGTGCTTTCTGCACTTCGTCTTCCTTTGCACCTTTCCTCATGACAGCCACAGTGCAAGTGATGGCTTGGAGCAGTTTGACAAACCTGTTGAAGTCTGAACACGGCCTTCCCAGACTGCAGGAGATCACAGGGGGTAACGTTTCAACCTGTCAAGGCTAACATTAACACTGAAGAGTCCGAACAAGTTTCTGCAGGCCTCAGGCAACCTTTTGTATATTTGTACTCTACGTATATTTTTTGTATTTGTAGATCCATAATTTCATATGAATATACATTGGTGCTGTTATGAATACAACCGCTTCAGAAAAAGCCAGATCAGCTCATTTTCCTGATTGATCTGAAAGCTAACTTGATGGAAAAAAGGGAAAGAAATCCTGAATGAATGATATGAAAATGATCCTGAACTTTGTTTGTGGAATCGTTTTGATATTTTTTTGTTCATTTTTTTGTTTGTTTGATTTAGTTGGTTTAACTGAATAGCGAGGGAAAAACTGCCAATAAAGCTCTACTGATATAATCCTCTTTCAAAAGGGTCATAGTGAGGATGCAATGCTGAATCGAGTCCTTACACTGAAATTCTCATTAAGATATTTGGTACAAAACTGGTAATTTATACTGTACTGAGCTTTCTTGTAGCAATCCTTCTTATAGCTAGAATCTCCCACTGTAACAGCTGAAAAAAGGGATCAAGATTTAGATATAGTTTCCATTGTCTGAATAATCTTTTAGCACTTTTTAAGTCCTGCATTAAATATTTTATGTACCACTTGAGAATGAAAAGTCATGAGAATCTGATAGTTATCTGCTTAAAAAATACAATAACGCTCCTTGCACAAACATCATGTGAAACCCAGTAAACATTTCATTAACATATCTTTTAAATGGAGGTTGTGTTTGGTAGTATAATTAGAAGCCTAGGTTACATTTGTATTGCAGTGACACCCAGAAATCAGAACTGAGACCCTAGCATGCAGGCTTCTGTGCATGGGGAGACATGGTCCCTGCCTTAAAGTACCTCCCATCTAATTAGAAGTGATATATGAGCATGACGCATTCTAGGTGGGAAAGATGTGATTGAGGACAAGAGTAATTGGCAGTCCAATCAAGTTAGGCTACCTTTGCGCATAGAGCACAAGGCCGTAATCATCATAGCTATTAGCAAACACAGGTCCAAGGAACGTCCGCTCCACTACCCAAGAAGCAGGGCTGTATGGAAAGTCTGCAGGCTGACCAAGTCAAAAGTTACTGCTCTTCCAAGATTCCTGTTTCTCCAGACAATGGCAAGGAAGAAATCCCATATTATTACTCTAGGGTAGAAATGTGAACGCTGCTGAACAGTAACTCTAGTGCCTTGTCAGACCTGGTCCTCGTAGATTTGAACTGGGACTCCTGCTATGCAGCTATGAATGAAGCAGGTCTATCCATGAGGAAGGAAAAGTACTTCAGAGAATATGAGATTAGAAATTCAAACTCCAGAGAATTAGAGTGGGAAATGTTATTTTAAATTATCCTTGCACTTTCATAGTTCATGAATGTCCATATGCATTAAGCCTTGCTTTCCCACATTTCTTTTTAAACCCCTTCTTGTTGTAAGGACTTTAAATTAGCAGATTTAAGTTAATGGAGCTATGCATCTCTTTTAAAATAATTATTCAGTTCCACTTAATTAGTAATGGTGAAGAAACGAATGTTTGCAACAGGCCCGAGAAAGTGAAACCAGTTGCTTAACAAGAAGGATGCTGCAGCATGCCTATGAGATTTTTCTGCTTTTCTAGATACTTGTTCTTCAATGGGAAATGTCCTATCAAAGTGGGTGGTTTACTGCCAATTACCATGGTATCAGAATTGGTGATTACAGACTTTCAGTGTCTGTTCTTCAGACTTTCAGGCTTTCAGCATCGATTTTCAGTGATCTTGAAACGGGGTTAGGTCAGTGCATCCCAAACATTCACAAGAAATGTACATGGCTGACAGCGAAAAGTAAGAAAGGAAAGGAAATTGTAACTAAGCTTACAAGTATACTCTGTTTAGATAACACTGCAGTGAATATGAAAGGAAAACTTTCTATGAAATACAAAAGGCAAAGAGGGGATTTTATTTGTCATCTGCTGATGACCAAATGACTGCAGTCATCCATGGAGGATGTTGTCTTTGTAGCATTTCCCATATCCTGCTTTACAGTCTTTATTGGGAGAAATATTTCTGTACTGTACTCTTTCCTTCTCATTCTTGTATGTACCCTTGAGTGCTTCTGTTGAAATTCATTCAAAGAAACTTCCATTATTAAGTGGTATCTCCCCCTTCCCCCTAACAGATGTATCATGGCATCACAATCTTTATTTGGCGTTTCCATAGGCCCCCTCACTTCTCAGATAGAGAGTCATGCTTTCAGGCTGATAATTGAAGTTGTGAGGCAGGACCAGAAAGCACCCTCCCCTATTGAAATGGAGTTGAATGCACTATCTTCTGTATTAGGGATAACTGCTAGGACATACCTCTGATGACCTGTGCCAGTCATTGCCACCATATTCTTACTGTTGGTCACTGATTAAAATGCAAGTGTGAGGAGTAATTGCCTGGGCAAATGCAGAAAGAAAGATGCTATGTTAGGGGTTGTCCTGGGTTCTTCTATGTTAGAGGTTGTCCTGCTACTGCATGAACTATCTCGCGTTTAATTTGCTCAAAGGCTTGTTGCTGCTCAGGGCCCCATTTAAAATCATTCTTCTTCCGGGTCACATGATAGAGAGGGCTTACAATCAAACTGTAATTCGGGATGTGCATTCTCCAGAACCCCACTGCACCCAAGAAAGCTTGCGTTTCTTTCTTATTAGTTGGTGGAGACATTGCTGTTATCTTGTTGATCACATCTGTGGGGATCTGGTGACGTACATCTTGCCATTTTATTCCCAAAAATTGAATCTCCTGTGCAGGTCCCTTACCTTACTCCGTTTTTATGGCAAAAAACAGCTTTCAGCAGGATTTGGATTATTTTCCTCCCTTTCTCAAAGACTTCTTCTCCTGTATCACCCCACACAATAATGTCATCAATGTATTGCAGGTGTTCTGGAGCTTGCCCCTGTTCCAGTGCAGTCTGGATCAGTCCATGGCAAATGGTAGGGCTGTGTTTCCACCCCTGGGGCAGTCGGTTCCAAGTGAACTGGACACCCCTCCAAGTAAAAGCAAACTGTGGCCTGCACTCTGCTGCCAAAGGAATTGAGAAAAATGCATTGGCAATATCAATCGTGGCATACCACTTGGCTGCCTTTGACTCTAGTTCATACTGAAGTTCTAGCATGTCCGGTACGGCAGCACTCAATGGTGGTGTGACTTCATTCAGGCCACGATAGTCTACTCTTAGTCTCCATTCTCCATTGGACTTTTGCATTGGCCATATGGGGCTATTAAAGGGTGAGCGGGTCCTGCTGATCACCCCCTGACTCTCCAGTCTACGGATCGGCTGATGGATGGGAATCAGGGAGTCTCGGTTGGTGCGATATTGCCGCCGGTGCACTGTTGTGGTCGCAATTGGCACTTGTTGTTCTTCAACTTTCAGCAACCCCACAGCAGAAGGATCCTCTGAGAGACCAGGCAAGGTGGACAGCTGCTCAATTTCCTCAGTCTCCAAAGCAGCAATACCAAAAGCCCACCGGTACCCTTTTGGGTCTTTGAAGTACCCTCTCATGAGGTAGTCTATGCCGAGGATGCATGGAGCCTCTGGACCAGTCACAATAGGGTGCTTTTGCCATTCCCTCCCAGTCAGGCTGATTTCAGCCTCCAGCACAGTCAACTCTTGGGATCCTCCTGTCACTCCAGAAATATAGATGGGTTCCAGCCCTTGACAGCTTGATGGCATCAGGGTACACTGTGCACCGGTATCTACTAGAGCCTTATACTTCTGTGGGACTGATGTGCCAGGCCATCTGATCCACACAGTCCAGTAAATCCGATTGTCCCCTACCTCCACCTGGCTGGAGGCAGGGCCCCTCTAATGGTCGTCACAGCACTGGACACTTAAGTCGTGTTGAAATGGATTATTCTTCATTATCACAGGAGCTGGAGTAAAATCAGCTCTTCCACTCCATCTGGGAAACTGCTCACCAGAGACTGAAGCCGTAGCTCTCATGGGACCATCAGTCTTGGCCCTTGCTCTCCTCTTCAGTTCACTCACCCGTTCCTCCAAAGCTGAAGTAGGTTTTCCATCCCACTTTGTCATGTCTTCTCCGTGATCCAGCAGGTAAAACCATAGGGTACCCCGTGGCGTATACCTTCTGTATCTCCTCTCTTGTACAATAGGATGCCTTTTGTTAATAGCTGAGACGTGTGTTGGTACACGTGAGGAGCTGGATAAATCAGATACATCGTCCCTCAATTTTTTGAGGTCCTGGGACAGTTTTTTCACAGCTGAGATGATGGAAGGGGTGAGATTGTTTTCGAACTCTCGGAGTTTATGAACCATTTCATCCACTGTTAGTGGTACTATGTCATTCCAGGTCACTGTTGCCAATGAATGGGCATATGATGACGGTGCATTCCATGTAAGTTTTCGCCATGTGGGTCGTGTACATTCAACTTCATCTGGATCTATAGGTGTATCCCCGTTATTCGGCTTGATGTGATAGATCATCTCTACGATGGCTGATTCCCTCAGAGACTGGATGCCTTTGTCTATAGTAGTCCACTTGGCCGAACGACTCGTAACATCGTCCTTGTACGGAAACCTTTCTTTCACAGCTGCCAAGAGCCGCCTCCAAAGGCTGAGGGACTTTTTCTCTCTTGCAATTGCTTTGTCAATTCCCCCTTCTCTAGCAAGTGATCCCAGCTGCTTGGCTTCTGTACCTTCTAGTTCGTGACCATCGGCCCCATTGTCCCAGCATCGGAGTAACCAGGTGATGATGTGCTCCCCTGGTTGACAGGTAAAATCTTTTTGCATATTCCGCAGCTCGGTTGAGGTCCGAGGTCGAGAAGTTACCTCTTCTTCTTCTTCATCATGTGATGATGACTCCTGATCAGATTCTGGACCGGGTGGTGAATTCATTGGTTCTTCATCTCGCTTCACCCTTTTTGCCTCCTTTTTGCTTGTTCTCTTGCGTACAGGGGCAACCGATATTGGTTGAAACTGTGAGATCAAGAGGAAAAACCTTGAGAGCCAATAAATCAGCATTGTGACGAGTGACTATCAATCCAGTCAGATCTGTTCTTATCTCAACCCCTCGTGCCCCACGTTGGGCGCCAAAAAGAACTGTCGTGGTTTAAACCCAGTCAGGCAACCTGTTCACTCACTCCCAGTGAGTGATGCCGAGCTGACAACAATCGAGGACCGTGTCCGTTTCCCCCCCCCCCCCCCCCCGCACAGGGGCTCTCCCCTTCCCCGCTCCCGGAGGAACGGGGAGGAGGATCGAGAGAGTGCAACTCCTACGGGTTGAGACAAGAACAGTCCAGCAACAAATCACCACCGCTACTATCAGCTAAAACAATGATAAGGGAAAATAACAAGGGAAGAGAATACGATACCACCGGCCAAGAAAGCGAGTTCCACCCGGAAGCCCCTGTCCTTCCGAGTAACTCCCAGTTACCCCCCACCCTGGGCATGACGTGCTGTGGTATGGAATACCTCCCCGGCTAGCCCGGGTCAGGCGCCCCGTCTCTGCTTCTTCACAGCTTCCCCTCCTCCCTGGCAGAGCATGAGCCTCACAGAGTCCTTGGTCAGGGTAAACATCACTTAGCAACAACCGAAAACATCGGCTTCACCAACACTGTTCTCAAGCTAGAAGCCAAAACACAGCACCGCACCAGCCAACACAAAGGAAAAACATGACTGCCACTGCTGAACCCAGGACAGGGGTATAGAAACATGAAGTTGCAGGTCTTCTGATGCTGCTCATCAGCATCAGAACCTTAAACTTCAGGCAATCACAACTCGTGGAGGACCTCTAAAGAGCAGAAGTAGTATGTTGTCATTCCACTAGAAAGAGGAAATGAGTCATGTCTTGCTGTCCTGTATTTGTACAGTACATAGAGCTGTGAGTCAGGGTTCACAGTACTATCATGATAAGAAAACCATAAGCATTGAAGGAGTTTTTATTTACATAATAGTTAAACCTCCTTGGTTAAACCCCATTTTTACAGTTCATGTTGGTGCACACTTTTATTTTCAAATTACTTTAAATTATTAAATTATTCAAATTATTAAAATAAACTTTTTCCTTGACTTTGTATTGTGATTGTCCAGGAATTTAGATGCTAGATGACCTGTGCTGGTATTTGAAATTTATCTTCATGTGTGGCTAAAATATACAGTCTCACAAGTAAATGTCCGAGGTTTTCAGTGAAATTACAACTTTCATTAACCATTATCATCTTAGTGTAGTTGGCATTTAATAATCTATCGGTCTTCATTGTTGTTTCAGCCATGGGGTTTAGGAAGGATGCATCTTTGCAGAATGCCCAGGGATGCTACTTCTGTGTTGCATGCATGACCAAGAATGTTCTAAGTTTCGTCTTGGTCTTTAACATACCTATTTCAAATCCATCATTAATTCTTTTTAATATGGTAAATTGAATGATATGCCAAACCTTTTAATTGGTATGTTCTTATAAAGATAATGTTAATGACTAAAAAGCAATCAAAATGCTGTAGAAATGAACTTTGCAAGCAGTTGCAATTTACGCTTGACTTTCTTTGTCTTAACTTCTGCAGTGTCCTGTGTAACAGAAGTAGACTTGCAATAAGTTGGCTGAACAATTAATTAACAAACAGCGTACCTGAGCTCTAAAATGTTTGTGTACAACTAACTCCAAATGTGAAAGTGTGGCTTTTTTCTTTTCCTCCTCTTGCACATTTAAAACTAGAAGTAAAACCTTTGGGAAAAGATGACAGAGAACAAAAGTAGGGGCACTGGTTGTATATGATTAGTAAGATGT